AAAAAACCATGCGGTGATTCGTATTCCTGACGTCAACACTGACTCATATGACTTACGTACTAGACATCCTTCATTCAAACACTTACGATGGGGGGATAGAACATTCACCCAATACTGGATGGAACCGTGCGGCGAAATCGTGGCGATCAAAACGACTCTGGCGCCTATCATTGGGGTTCAAATTTCAAGTGGGGCAAATAAAGAGCATCAACTGGTCCTACTTGTCCAATCTACTTGAAACCCATGCCCCAATTATAGGCGCCAAAGTCGTTAAAAACACCACGGATTTCGCTGCGCGGTTTGCCGCATCCATCCAGTATTGGGTGAATGTACCCGTACCCTTTCCGATCTAGTTTATTAGGTTGATGCATGATCATTGCACGGAACTTATCCACCACCAACACTGTTCCATGGCTGAAAATTTCGTTGAGATCGTGCAACGACTCTGCCACCTTCCAACCTTTCTCGAAGTAGTAGCGCATGTGACAAACACGAAGATGACTTTCTAGAAATTTTTTTGTTCAGGGGAGCGATACCCTCATTCCTATCAAATCCCGAATTCAAGATTCAAATTGTATCGATAAAAAAATTTTCAAACTTGGTTGACTGCAACGATTTTCAAACTTGGTTGACTCGTGGTGAAATAAAAAGCCCGCTGCTAGACTTCCGATTCTTTTCTTGTCTTTTGCGTTATAACTCACTTCTTGTTTGTTTGTTTGTTTTGTTGGAATCTAATTTACTTGTACCGGATTNAAATCAAAAGTAGATGCTCTTTAACTTTAGCTCTTTGCTCTTTACCATACAGCTCTTATTAGCTATCTAAAGCTTCTGTAGTGCACTTCTGCTTCGGTTCATTTTTTTTCTTCTCCTACACCCCTAACTGGAGATCTTATTGCCTTTTGTTTTGAACCATGTTTTACTTTCGTTCGATTGTAGGTTGTTGAATTACAAAGAAAAAATCCGCAATAATTATGCATCAACCTGATATTAAGGTACAGAGGTCGATGCCATCTACCCTGTGGAGATTCGACTAGGTGATCAATTTCCACAGAGGCTGTAATTTTCTCCTCTTCGTAGCACTAGGTTTAAGCTTTCACCGTTTGGTCCGCGTTATGATTAGTAGGGGGTCGCTTTCCTTCTCTTTCAGATTTTTGATGCTTTCGGCCTTGTAGTCAGCAAAAGCTCGACATCTTGGAAAAGTAGATCTTGATTTTCCTAACGTTTTGCCGTCCATTCTTTGTCACCCTCTTGAGCCGTTTTTGCGACTCATTCTGGAGTTTTCCTCCACCACAAACTGTCACTGCGACGTCATCATAGTAACGACCGGTCCTACGCTAAAAACCTTTACGAGATCTTCAGCTGAACACTAGGTGCTGGTAAGCCTCGGATCTTTTCTCTAGCGTGACACAACGTCTATTTTTCTTTTGACAAGTATGGTGTGCGTAGAATTTCTCCTGAGCCATAAAACGTGCCCATCAACGAGGCGACCAGATACTGAGCACCTTCCCGTTTCCTAGACGCCTTGCAGAGCTACGCTGATTATAGAGTTGGATGAACAAAAAGATCGATCATTTTTCCTGAAAGTCGGCTTGCAGGTTCGGCACTGTTTTGAATTCTTCAGAATTTCTAAGAGTGCAATAAGTGCAGAGCTTCATTCAATATATCTTCATCAATTACAAGCTGGAAAGGGAGGCTATTGTAGATAATTCGGGTCTGCAATCAAAATGCCTCCAGAGACTGATAGTGAGCTCCCTTCCCTCCCTGGAGTTGATTTAGAACTTGGTCTAGGCCAGTAGACCAAATTTGTCCTCCCAGGCGAGCCTGTTGAGAATTAACCGAACTTAGATGGAAGGCTCGGTTGGCCTCTGCGGATCTCGATCCGGGATTCGAACCCGAGTGATTGCGTGTGTGATAGTGCACCTCTTGCCACAGTACCACCTCCGCCCTGCTTACGCTATTACCCACAGCAAAGCTGTAATTGTTCTGCCTTGACTAGTTCTACCTGAGTTCAGGCAAATCAGAGAACGAAATCATATTTGTCTAAATTTCCAACTTCTTTCAAACGTGATTTTGTTACACAGCTCGGCTGCGGCTGCCTTAGCAAGCCTCTTGCAACCTCTGTAAACAGCAAGGTATTCAAGATCTGCCGCAGTTGTGAGCGCTTCCATACATCCATTTCTTAGTGCATAAAATCTGTTCATTCCAAAACCGTGTTGTTTTGAACCATGGCAGCCTGTCTGAAAGAGTTTGGCCTCTCTTACACTTAGATTTCATGTCAAAAAAAAAACCAAAATCAATCACCTTGATGTTGCATTCGATAAAGCACTGACGAGTATATCATTCTTATACTCGGCGTCTTTGGCCTGAACTGATTTTCTTTTCTTCTTCAGCTCCTTCTTCACGGATTCTCTGCCTAGAGTACTCGGACGTTAGTCAGTAAGCGTCTGGACCTGCTACGATGTCCCACTGACGTACATAGGCTTTGAAGTAAGGGTGCCTTTCGGTAGCTCGTAATCTTTCTTTTCCCTAGCTTTATCATGGAGAAGTTCGGTAATCCAAATGCATTCTTCGCTGAAGACGTTGATAACGGAATGCCGTGAGCTGGCAGGAAAAGCGAAGTGATTCGAGTTGGTGACGATGTTAGCATTCATTTCTTGAAGTTCTCAACTCTCCTCATGCAAGATCTTCTTAGGAGGTTAGCACTGAGGACTCAATCATGAAACTTTATTGGTGAGCTTTCGCTGTATTAACAGCTTCGTCAAACCTTAAAATCTTCAATTCTATCGTATCTCCTCATGCAATAAACAACAGAAAATACAAAGGAGACGTAGTTCGAATTCCATGCAAAACTTCGGAAGAACAGCAACATCAGTCATGCAAAACTTCAGACCGAAGATGACTGAACTATTTCAATATGAAATCGTATACCAGATGACTACAAAGTCCGCAGCGCACGGGAGGGCTAATCAAGTTGCCGGACTTTCATAGTTCATGGCCAAGTGTATGCTGACCACCACCGATGCCTCTGCTGTAGCGCAAGTGACAACTCTTCGCCAGTATCGAAGAGAGCGTGTAGCAGGCGATACCTTCTCGTCTCGGTCAGTCATATTTCACAAGGGAAAGATCGCAAGTCGAAGTGGGCTACGTTCCAAATTCGCCAGACGATTCTCTGGATGAATTATGAAGGTGGTCTCAGATGTGTGCTCTACATAGATAGTGACGCAACTGTTACTGTTTGCGAGGTACACCGCCTTCCATGAGTATGGAATCACCTAAAAACTTCGTACTTCCACGATAAACAGCTAATATGTAGGTAACGTTTTCAGAAGTACTAGCTAATTCTTAATTTTGAATAACAGCCCGTATGCAAAATCCGGTAACAACGAATTTCGCTTAACCTTCTTTTAGCAATGATTTCTGATGTTTTCATCGTTCGTGGGTATAAGGTAAATTGAGAAATTGGACAATTCATCAATGTCAATGGCAAAGGTTAAGAAAAAGTTGAAAACCTGGATTTTTCCTCATGGCGTACTAGAAACTAGTAAACTATTGTATTAGATTTCAAAGCACTGAGCTGCCAACTTCGAGTTCGAG